CCCACCCCCAGCCTTCCCTCCCCCGACCTTTCTGATCGACAAGCTCAGCATTTGTAGGCCTGCTTAAATGATCAGGAACTCTTACCCAAAATATCTCTTTGCAACTCCTCAAACAGACCTGCCTGTAGCAAATGGAAAGGCAGCTCGCTCAATTTCCTCTGGTTTGCAAGGGTACTGGAGAACCAAAGCGGCTGAGGAATCACCTAGATAAAAGGAATCAACATTTGACTTTGCCTTTTCTAAAATCCACAAATCCAACTTCTTATGTGCAATGAATCGAACCAAGGCACACTTTCCAGCCACTAAGTATTGGTATAAGCAATGCAAATAACGTTTTTATTACTTTCTTCTGACTTGATGAGTTTATGTTGCCCTATGTCAGAGTTTCAACCTTCAGCCTCCAAACTCTTTATTTTTGGGGTGGCTCAGAGCTCCTTTATAAAGGTAAATATTAAGAGCACATTTGTAGATAATGGCTAGCTTTTGGCAAAAGGTGGGAAACAGATTAAAAATATAACATGGCCCCTAAAATAATATTCAGATGTTTAAAAATGTAAAGAATGATCTTCCCAAAACGAAACCCCAGAAGAAAACCGTAGAAAATCTCAGCTTTATTTGTTTGTTTGCAAAATTTATTGGCTGCCCATTTTATTTCAAGGTAACTCTGGGTGGCTTTCAATCATAAAAGATAAAATCTACATAAACTAAAAACATAAATAAGTTAATACAAAAAAGCCAAACCATATGACCTACTTAAAAGGTGGGGAGGGCAGGATGGGGTGGAGGTAGGATCTATCAATCACCTCCACTGTGATGCTCCTCTATTACTTATATGCAAGCTCTGGGTGTCAAAGGTTTGAATCTCCAAGTTCTCTTAAATTCCTCTTAAAAAGAAATTAAAGGCCCTCTGCACCAAATGTTCCCCACTTCTCTTCTGTATAACTCCTGTCTTGATTTATTTCACTTTATTATTTTATCTGAGAATAAAGCCCATCAAGCTCTTTGGGGCTTAATTATGAGTAAAATTTATGATGCTGCACTACAAGAGTCTGATCTTACTCTATCTCTTTCTATAATCTTTTTTGGCATTACAATTCCCAAAATTATGGCCGCTAAAATATGGAAAGAAACTCCAGTCATACAATTTCTACCAGACCCAACAAAACCAAGTCATTTTCCAGATGAATAGAGCTAATGTTGATGTTGTTTTCAATAACCTTTACTGGACTTCTCTTCCTTCTTCTCCAGTAAACTCCAGGAAGTACTGCTGTCTTGGGTCTCCCAACCATCCATCTCTCTATACATCCATCCATCCATCCATCCATCCATCCATCCATCCATCCATCTCTTCCTCAGTTTCCAGAAGTTCACCTTCCTATCAAAGCTCACAGGCTTGTTGGAGGATGGCAGCTGGATGGGTTTCTTCATGCCCCAGCTCCATGTTCCCCTGAAATAATCTGCCAGGAGCAGGTGACGCTTGATCCTTTCTTCTGGCATGGACAGGTAGCGTTGCTCCACAGCATCAGCCAACTCCCTGCACGGATGAAGAGATGTCAAAACTGACGCCTGCTTTTTCACCATCTCAGCTGCCTTGGAATGAAAGGATGAGGACTGACCTGTGGGCAAAACCCATCAGCACAAAGCCATCCACCCACCGGTCCTCCAGCCACTGAGCCAAATCCTGGTATAACTGAGCCCACAGCAGGGGTGGAAAGCGGAGGATCGCCTTGCTTGGAGGAGGATGAAGCCGATAAATCTCAGCGAGAACCTCATTGTCAAGGGACAAGATATCCTTTTGCTCTGCTTCTGAGAGCCCATGTCTGTGGAAAGGGCAGAGGGAGAAGCAAACAGGTAGGCATCTGTTAGTCCTCTCTTTCCTTAGCAGACAACTTGGGAGGGACCTGGACAGACTGCTAAAAATAATTCCCTTTTAGTGCCCTTTTTTATAATGACTCTCAGTAGTCCTTGACTTACAACCATTTGTTTAGCAACTGTTCAAATTTACAATAGCCTGAAACAAGTAACTTATAACCAGTCCTCGCACTTATGACTGTTGCAGTGTCCCCCATGATTACGCAATCAAAATTTGGGCGTATTTATTATGATGGTTGCAGCATCCTGGGGTCCTGTGGGCTCCATTTGCAACATTCCCAGATAGCCTTCCAACAAGTAAAGTCAACAGCGGATTTGCTTAATGATTGCATGATTCACTTAACAACTGCAGTGATTCATTTAACAACTGTGGGCAAAAAAATAGGTTTCAAAATCGGGCACAACTTACACTTAACAACTTCCTTGCTTAGCAGCAGAAATGCTAGTTCCGATTGGGGTTGTAAACTGAGGGCTACCTGTAAGAGTTTCGAGGTATCCCTACCATAGACCTCCAAATGGCTGAATGGGTGGCGAATGAAGGCTTGCTAGAAGAAGAAAATTGTTTTCTAGCTTTCTCCTTGTCTGATATTGATGAAGACTTTACTGACAGGAAGCTAATATAGATGGGATGAACAGGATAGAGAGGTGGGGGGGATAGATAGATAGATAGATAGATCAGTGGTTCCCAAACTTGGCAACTTTAAGACTTGTGGACTTCAACTCCCAGAATTCCCAGAAGTCCACAAGTCTTAAAGTTGCCAAGTTTGGGAACCACTGAGATAGATAGATAGATAGATAGATAGATAGATAGATAGATAGATAGATAGATAGATAGATAGATAGATAGATAGA